CATGTCAGGCTGTGATAGATAAGGATGGAGGACCAACCATATATTAAGGCCTGAAAATATTCCAGCCACATATTCAGATCCAAGGTTAGGATAAGACTGTGGCTCTATTCTGTGATTTGAAAACCTTTAAACTCTTGTAAATAAGTTATAAAGTCAAGTAGCAAAAATGCACAAATGTTATGCAGCCGATCATTATACAAATTAGGTTTAGTACGAAGGAAAGACCCACTGCAAATTATAGTGTCTAGAAAAGAATTCACATACAAATACTTTCGAAAATCTGCACAATTACGAGGGCTAACCCCAATATGGAAGATGGCTATGCCTAAGGAGTCTTAATTTTCGCGCTATAACCCCTTCCAAAGCCCCATTGCGAACTTGATACCGTGGCAACACGGTACATGGATGAGCGTCACGTTGTCTGTACCGAGCATGCCGAGGCTCGTCTCACAGCGGCACAATTTATGCATGAGCAGTGCGTCTAGGCAGGATTATGCTTGCACTAGCGCGGCGTGGAATAGGGGGACGGCCGCGCATGACAGTGCGGCGACGGAGTCGGAAGCTAAATGATCAAGTACCGCGTCTCGACTTGCAATCAAATCACGCCCCATCCAAACCAAACCCTAAAAATAGGGCAGTACGAAGCCGACAGGGAGAGGGCAAGACTGAACACCTGTACGCCGTGTCCTCTACGAACCTGGGAGTGAAATATTCTCCCCGAGACAAGTTCAGTCAAATTTCGCAATACCGAACAAGTTAGCAAGATGATGCGAAGGCTGGATTCAGTCTCGACGGGCGTGGAGTTTTGAATTTTGGCAAGGAGTTTTTACGAATTGAGCTTTGTGCGTGCCAAGCCTTCGGTTGCGAGAGTGCGACGACACTATCGACACCGCCAAGGTGGGATGGTGCCGTGGTACATCGTCTTGGCCGGTCTGCCAAGTAGAGTCTGGATAGCTTGGACACATATCTCACTCGAGACAGTAGATCGCTGCTTCAAATCCGGCAAAACCCAACCACATTTCTCGCGGCGCGGGTATGCATGGATGACGAAGGCATGCTTGGATAATCAAAGGTTTTGAAACGTGCCTTTGGTGGGTACTTACGGAGGAGGGTAGATTGTTTGTGTGAGCAAGCATACCTCATAGTGGTATTTGCGAATGAAATCCAAGGTATCAGTGTCTCTAACGTCAAAAGAGTCATCCCACATGTATACATAGCACGGGTCATGTGTCATAGCTAGATAGCTGAATACACATTAAATGATTTAAAAAAAAAAGAAGCCGACATGGAGCACGGCAAGATTTAGCTCGCATGTAAATCTTTCGCATCTTTGGCCAGGCAGGGTAATTACACTCCTCACTTCCACTTTCATCTCGAGTTGAATCAGAACAAAGGCGAGCTTCACTCAGCATTCCGTAAAGCGTCGCTCGACATCTTTGGCCTCACGGAGCTCTGGCATTCGGGGAGCGTCGAGTGAAATCTCATCCGAAGCTCCACAATCCCCCTCTGTACATCTCTGGAGCATCTCGAATGACCAGAGTGCAGTTGTCGGTACTTTTGCGAATTTTCTTGTCCGGGAGAACCTCGCTGAATCCGGCTTTGCACTTCAGAATATCGGCCGCCGATTTCGGCTCTGCGCGTCGCTTTGCCTCCCCGAAATAGAAATTGCAGTGTAGTTTAGGCAAGTTCCGCACGCCGCAAATCTCATGCTAATAGAGGAGAAAATTAGGCCTAGACAGCCAAGCGGATGAAACCCGAATTGACTCGACAATACATGAGACACTCAGTTCTATTCCTAAGTATGGCTTAGTATCTGGTAGTATTTGTATTTATTTTACTACTTGAGTCTGAGATTATCCAGCACATCAGGCTCCTCTCTGACCCAGGCTACACCGTGAGATACGCTCATATACTCTTCTGTTACCTGAAAGATTGCTAATATGTTGCCCGTGATGAGTAACCATTCAGCTCGGTATCTGCCCGTGAGACTAAGCCACTATTTGTGTGGTCAGCTGGTCGTTGGGGATACATGTTTTATCTCCTCACTGTCTAAAAGATAATAATTCAATTTATCATGTTTAAATAAATCAAAATCACCTCGTTTCTTTCAGATAGATCCTAGAAGTCCTCCATGGTCATAGACTCATATAGGACTATAATAAAATGTAATCTAAGCCACTGTTTCCACGAGGCCCTCTGCCGAGAAAAATAAAAATGGAAGCGATAGAAACTGCGTGCGCGGGGATAACCGTCATGACACCTGCTGTTGTGATTAAGGTATTAGTAGGTATGAAATGTTGAATAGTCTAAGGATAGCAGAGAGGGTGGATAATAGTTATCGGAGCTTAGTTATAATCATCTACAGGTCACAGTAGTAGATATGACTTATATACACATATTTGGTACCCGCTATACAGTACATCACCGTCTATGCAGGAAGTACTACAATCTTAATTCCATGCCATACTATCCCGCATTACTCTATGCCATAGTATAGAGCTGCGCCGCAATAGTCGATCGTAATGATGACCACGTAGGGCTGTGCAGTACTCGCGTAGATGTGTTGTGTCCCTGGCACTTGGCAGAGATAAATTTAGAGTAAATGCAATAACCACATCACAACACCTGCAGCTCCAGCTAGGCGAGGCCTAGATACCGGAGCTACACGAGATGCGCATGTCAATCTACATTTCCCTTATTTGTAGCGCAAAGACCAACTTGATCCTATCCACCACCTCCGTATCGGGTACTGGGTACACTCTTGAAACTTATCGGATGGCCTCTCCTCCACGATAAAGTGTGAGTGATAGATAGGACTTCTACTCTAGTTCCAGATGTAATCGCGATTAGCTTAATGATAATGGACCTAGGTGGTTTTGCCGAGTGATGAAGGCCATACAGAATGCGAAGGGCCTGGGAGACCTCATCAAGGTGAGGAAGAAGGTGTTATTCAAATATAGCTCCGGAGACTCTCCAGTGGGAGCTGGAGGTTCGTAGTGGACACCACTGACAGCTAACTAATTTTCGAACCCCTTATGAAATATATGTATTGGTGATCTTCGGATAATTCCTCACTGCTTTGGAGTCACCTAGCAATTTCGAGAGCATATTTTGGAGCCGAGGCGCCTGAGGTCCGGTCATTTTTTGGAGGTCGAGTGCAGCGAGCCTGGTTTAGGGGATTGGGTTGGTAACGAGGGTCTAGCGATTCCACAAATCGCACTCATGTCGCTCCGACTTCCATTTATGAAGAGAAATAGTTCCTAATCTCAGGTTAGCCGGAACTGATTGGGGCATTGGCAAATTACAAGCTAGTTACATCTAAAAGAAAACCCCTTATCAAGTAGATTTAATCATGATTGTAAGGCGCAATAAATCTTTCCCTCCCAAAAAGGGGGTGATGTGATGGATGAAGTCTGGCTAACTAAGCCACTTCCACGTTCAACCACCGTGTAGATGCAGTGACGCCTACAACCAATAGTGCATTACCTTGGTCATTTCCGCCTATTAATTTAGCCCATCAAGCTCGTTGTTACAAAAATCGGTATCATCTGTGAATCTAAGCTTTCTAACTAACGAGATCCATGATTTCGGCCGGTTAAGAGGACCATACTTTTCCGTCCGTCTTCCCACTTAACTCATCAATTTTCCTATAACCAATATCAGTTGTATTGCATAAAATGAAGGCCAGAACGTTAACATGTATCAGGCACGCGTGGTTTGAAAGTATTACTGTTGTATGTATACATTCAGAACCTTGGCGACAGCTACAGTGGGAGTGTCCTTGATAATCCATTTATCCGATCTACGCCGTATGATGTATGGTTGCTCATAATGAGCATTTCGGTAGAAAGATTTGCGCTACATAACCTTGGTAGTCTTCATCATCGTTTGGACATTGATTTCACTCCTGTCATCAGTATTCGTCATTGAACGATTGAAAGGCAGTGGTTGCCTCTGTTTCTCGGCCATGAGTGATGGGCCGAATAGACGCTCAGTGCAGCATGGGTGCACAAGGCCGTCGTGGCCAGGTTGATAGGGCCGTGAGAGGCGGCCTACTTTTGGCAGACTGCAAGGAATAGTAATGACGAAAGTGCCTTTGATGGCGGTGGAATGGTTAGGACGTGTGGAGACGTTTCAGACAAGATTGAGTTTGCAGGAGCTCTCTTTGCTTCTTAGTTCATGCATGAGATCTATGCAGACGCAATTGGATGTGTCGGGCGTCCCTGGATGCACCATGGGGAGTTGATCCGGCACTATGCGCCTTGCGCTTAGACTAGGTTATTCCCTTGACTTTCAGAGGTGGCCACTTTTTACATTCAGCATATGGCGTGGGCGCGACGAGCACTTCTAGTCAGATGAATACCTCGAGATTCTTTGGTTGTGAGGCGAAGAAGATGGAACCGGGGCGTCCAGCGGGTCTCGACGGCATGAATTAATCTGCTGGTCGAATTAGTCTCTAGCAGACTGAAGTTAGGACGCTGGTCATAGCCCTGAGACTATCTCATACCGACGGTTTATGACGTTTGAGGGGGGCGGAGGAGGGGATGAGGTCCGTTCCATGAGAATCTGTTGGAGAGGCCACAAGGAGAACAAGGACCAGGTGCGTCAGCGAAGGAGCACGGAGACATGGCTACACTTTCACCGGAGACGCTTCCAACGCGTCTCGAGCTGGCGCCTGATCGACAGGTTCTGCTAGGATGTTGAGTAGATTCCGAGCAGGCCAAGTGCGCGGGGTGCTCATCTGGCTGAGATGATGATATTCATGACTCTCCCAGCCAGCACCGAGTCTTGGGACGGGCTGCTTAGTCACCATTTCGCCCCAGCAAAGAGACAACGCCTACGGAGATCCATTGTCAGGCCAACTTGAGGCCTGGAGAGCTCGCGGGTACCTGCTAGGCACGGAGATTGATTACACCGCGGGATTTCAGGAGCCGTGCTGGGCAGTCCTTTTGATGAGCCTAAATTTTCCTGCTGGACCCGTCATTTCCCCTGCGCATTTCATGCTAACATGGCGGTTGACGCTAACTAACCACGTGAACGGCTCAGATGGACGGCATGATGTGCGATTGAGTCTATCATGGCGCCTAGGGCCAGAGGGTGAAATGGAAGATGACGGTACGCCTGGAATTTCCATCGCATGCCTCCTGGCAGATGTGGCATGGTTGACCAAGCCTACTGCACCGCAAGGCGACGGCATGAGAAGGGAGGAGCGGGGTGTAACTATTCGCATGCATAGCAGCTTGACATGGGGCGGAAGTGATGGTGATCAAGGCATTACAGTGGCAGTGTTTACTGGCCGCTGTCCCCGAGTGCCGGCATCATGGAATGCTACGAGGCGCCGAATCAATGACAAAGTTACTGACAATGATCACTACAGTTCTGCTACGAGAAGAGGTGGTTTCGGCCGGCGGCATTGCTATGCCACTGATCATCGGCGACATTCACCTCGACGAGCCATCATGGCGGAGACACAGCAGCGGCACCTAGCATTTCCTCCGTCCTTTCCCGTGTGTATGTGGCAGGGTGGGTGAGGGAGGGACATGCTGAAGAGCTCCTCTGAATACAAACTCAAGCAATGGGGCTTCTGCTCCGTAGCAACTGGCAGAGCTATTTGGGAAGACGAAGCGTCTGGGAGTGTGGCAGACGGGTGGTGGTTCGTCTCACTCGGCGTCAGAGTGCGCCATGATCTAACGGCCACACTGAAGCATGAGACAAGACTACACTCGCCATGTCGACAGAGAGTAGCAGGCCAGTGTATTAGTAGACGTGCAGCTGGCTAGAAAAGGCGACTGAGACTTCCACACTTCCACGTCAACGACGGGCTCCATCCCCGAGTAGCAGCTATTCTAACCGTCGCGCTTTTCACGCGAACTAGACATGGACGCGCGCACTTCGGGCGTGTCCAGACAAAGGGAGCCGCTGGCTGCCACTGCGAGCGTGCCACGGGTAAGGCCGCCATCTACAGCCGGCGAATCGAGGCCGCCGGTCCGAGACAGGAGAAATGCTTCCAAGTCCATGACGAGACGGGTAGCCGCCGTATGCAGAGTGGAAGCGGCGCCGGGAAGAATACTGTTCAACGAGCTCAGCGCCGCCTCGTGGACCTGGAACTTTGAGGTCTGGTTGGGCCCGCGCCTCGATGCTGCTTCTTTTGCTAGGGTCTAATGTCGCCCGCCCGTCGGCATCGCGAGTCCAGCTCGCTGTTGACCATTATGTCACCAAGGCTCGGCTCACGCTGCATCAGTGGCATCCGTGACCACAATCGGCGGAGCGCTTTACAGAGACACGCAAGCCCTCCATTCATTTCGTCGTCCTGATGTCATGATGGCCGTTGACGTCGTCGTGCCCAGTGGCGGCGCTCGGAAAAGGCTCCAGGGCGCTCGTGCCCTCGTCGCATCTCGAGCACCGCCCTCCGCGCCCATGAGTCATCATGAGCTAATCCCCCGCCGGCAACAAAGAGTCCGTGCCTCCGCATCTTCACTGCGGCGCTCGGTCCCTGGTCCCTTCCCGCCCATCTGTGCGGCACTTCTCTAGCGCCATTGCGGCTGGCCATACCCCTGAGCCGCTAGGCCATGTCTGGAAAGCCACTAACTTCTGGAAGCAGACACGTATTCGCTACTGCCTCAGGCCTATTTTTAACGGAGCACCAGTGCGCGACGAGTCGCTATAGGGCCACGCAGCTTCAGCACAGCAACACGGTCAAAAGGCCACGAGGAAACATTGGCAGATCATCCTTTGCCCAAATCCACTGCACCCTCGACCTGGCGTAGACTCGTCCCCGAAAACCCCATCTCGAGAGCAGAGAGGCCACACCATAGCGCACGCGGGATAGAGGTGAGAGGAGAGGCCTCGATGTGCTCCACGAATCATCAACCTCAGCTCGCACTCGTATCAGAGTCGTTGCCATGCTGATCGAGGTCGCCAAACATCAGCGACGATGGCACTCTGATCCTCTGGCAGCGTAATCCTCCCGTCTCCTAGCATCCTGGTCCCGCATTCTGTGTGATCCACTCGCTCTGCAAATTGTAGCCAACTAGTTTATCCATTCTACACTGCCCCCCCCCCCCTTCCCCAGCTCGAGCAATATTGTGTCCCTGGCCCGGCCAAATCAGCCTCGGCAGAATCCCATGTCCTCTAGGGCTGAGAATGTGAGACAAAAGACTCAATGAAACCGCCCGTCAACCACGCTCCATCAAACAAAGGGTCGTCGGCTAGGGGCCCCTGCGCCTTTATAGCCTGCTAGTCAGTTCTCTCGCCTCGTCTGTCCCTCCTGACGGGTCCCACAGCCCATGGCCCTAACCCCTCCAATCTTTCCCCTTCTTCTTCCTCTCAATCTCTCCCTCACTTCACTTCTACCTTCTTCCTTTTCGCACATCCGTCTCCTCATTTCCTATCCCAATCCTGACCATCTACACTCCTTAAACATACCCTATCCATCACGCCGCTCATCACTGTCGCGTGTGGTCTCATTCTCTTGGCCCTATCACACCTTTGTATAAACCCTCGTGGGTACCTCTGTTGATTCATCTGAATACAAGTTTACCGATCAGTTTGCCCTGTGAGGTCTTCAGTATTGTCCGCTCTTTTTTGTCCAGTCCATCACGGTCACCACCATCTTCTTCAAGTCCTTATTGATCCCCTTGCAAACTGGCGCATCACCACTCCCGCCGTTCCACCACATCCATAGACTACCAAAAACGATTCATCCGAAGATATAAGACGCCGAGAGTCCAAAGCCCACCACCAGGACCTCCCTTTACGTCAAAACCTTGCCAACTCAGTCTTTCGACAGCAGAGCTGCCCCTTGATCAAAGAAGAAACTTTCTGCCACCATCTCTGTTTGTCCTCGCCTCTTTCAAAATCCAACACTATGCGCTCCCTCAATGCCGTGGCACTTGCGGCTTTGGTGGGGAACACCATGGCTTTCTGGCGAATGGGTTGCCGAGCTCGATCAGGCTTAGTCCGACTAGATCCGTTGGTGACGCCAGGAGGCATCTCTGAACACATGCACGCCATCCATGGCTCGAGTGGTAGGTCATGCGCCGTCTTAATACCTCTCCCCTCAATTTACTTGCGCCTCCAGTAAATCACATCTTATACATCTCCCATGAAATATCAGTCCTCAGCTAACAAGACTTGCAGGATTTTCTGCCACTGCTACCTATGAAGAGTTGATGGCTGGAGACTGCACTTCCTGTGAGGTTGCCGAAGACAAATCCGCCTATTGGCACCCGGCCCTCTACTTCAAGGATTCTGCCACCGGAAAATTCTCCCTCGTACCCCAGGTCGGCGGAATGTTAGCGTAAGTTCCTAGCTTTTCATAAAAGTCACGTGAAGCCTCATGACGTATCTGCAACCATCATCTCGGCTGTTGTGAATCCTTACTAATCCATTCTCTCAGTTACTATCTTCTCTATCCAAACGCCGGAAACACGACCATCACTTCTTTCCCAGCTGGATTTCAAATGATCGCTGGTGACACAAACCAGCGCAACTTCACTTATCCCGTTCCGGATATAGAGAAATCACTTTGGAATAGCAACCCCTATAATACCCAGGCATTTCTCCGTCAAGCTGCACTTGGCTTTAACTGCCTCAATTATGCCAAGGCGCCCGAAGGAGCACTGTACCGTCATTTTCTCCCAGACAAGGCTTACCTAGACTCAAACTGTGTCGACGGTGTTCGTTTCGAACTCATGTTCCCTTCCTGCTGGAACGGGAATAAAGATATTCCCCCCAACAAGATGGATCACATGGCCTACCCGTCTCAAGTTATGACGGGCGAATGCCCTGAAGGCTTCCCGGAGCGGGTACCCTCTCTGTTTTACGAAATTATTTGGAACACCTTTGCCTTCAAAGACAAACAAGGACAGTTTGTTCTTGCCAACGGAGACCCGACCGGTTACGGATTCCACGCTGATTTCATCATGGGCTGGGACGAGGAACTCCTTCGCAAGGCCGTCAATACTTGTACAAATCTTTCTGGTCTCACCAGCGATTGCCCTCTTTTTACCATGCAAGATCCTTCTGTTTACAATAGCTGCAATCTGACTAAGATTCCGGCTGTAGTGGCGGAGGAAGAAAAAATAATCACTGACATGGATAACTTGCCTGGAAATCTACCAATTCAGCCCGGACCGGCCTATGCTATTGGTGAGACCGCCGGCGCACAGCCAGCAAAGGACCAGAAGCCCAATCCTGCCCCACAGCCCCAAGCGCCTGCTCCTCCTGCACCAGCGCCACCAGCTCCTGCCCCTGCTCCTCCAGCAGAGCAACCCGCCCCCCCAGTCGAGGCGCCTCCTGCACCCGCTGAGCCCGTTAAGGAACCGTCTGTCCCGGTCCTCTCCTATTCAGCTGGATCAAGTATTGCTCCATCGGCAACTTATGCTCCTGGCGGAATTGTTGGACTCCATGATGATAAACCCGCAGTAGCCGCGGTAGCCGAACCTGCCCCCACCCCAGCTCCAGAAAACAAAAAGGAAGATGCCGATAACAAAGATGTTGTTAGCACTGAGTACAAGACTGACGGTCGTGAGATTACTGAGGTCTACTGGGTCGAGGAGGTCGTTGTTGCTATGGAGGCTTCCACTTACACCAGTACGACGACAGTAATGGAACCACCGCTACGAAAGCGTTCCCACTTACTACACCACCGTCACCACTATGCTGGCATGTAATTGTAGTCTATCCTGGCGATTTGCACCACAAGAACAAGCCCCTCGTGGTTCAGTTAACCTACCAATAATTAAAATTATTAGCCAGATGGTGAGCTACTGACCAATGAACGTCGTCGCCTCCAACCTCGATCTCTTACATCCTAATCAGCTAATCTTATCGATTCTCTCAAAGACCAGGTCCACCTGACTCTTTGTCTGGGCCCGGCCGAGTTGATTAGCGACACCCATCTCATCAGCTCGACTCGCTACTATTTAGCCGCACCGCTTGCCCATCGGTTAACCCATGGCGTCGGCCATTTTACGAAACGTTCGCCAAACCTCTTCATTTCCTATTTTCTTCTTGTCTTCCGTTACTTCATCTTTTCCCCTTCCCTTCTCGCCACCCCCCCCCCCCCCCGGCACCGGTCTGCCGTCGGCCCTTTTTTCCTGGCGCAGAACGATATTTCCCTTTACGGTGGCGTTTTATACTGGGCTCGGCGCAGGGCATAATTTTCTTCGTGTCGAGCTATCCTCGACGGAGTGGAGTAGGGTGGATGAGCTTTATTTAGATAAATTGCTGTCAATGAAATATCTCGCGCTCCGTCCCCTGTCCCCCCGCTGCTGTGCCGTTCTTGCATCCGGTGACGCGTGTAGCGTGGCTGAAATTTTCCAAATTTCCCGCCATGGTTTATCTTTCTGTGCACGAACACATTGAAGTTTACCTAAAAGCGAGGCACAGCTGCCGTGTGTCTACTCTTGAAATTGAAGGATAGAGCTGAATATTTGTGAATTCTAGGTTATTCTAGCATCTCAGCGTGGGGGGGGAGAGGCAAGTAATACTACAATAGGCTAGCCCGTGTTACAAATAATGTTGAGCCCAACCCTATAGCCTGCACCTCGTGTCATTGGTAGCTAGCTTAGTGTACATCTAGTTTTATCCGCCCCACACTTACACTCGCCGTGTCCTAATACAACGTGATACCGTGCATAGTGTGCTCAGTAAGGAGAGAGAGAGAGAGAGAGAGAGCAAGCGCACCGCTGGGATGCATCGAGTAGGGCATGTAGGTCCTCGATTGAGTGTAAGAGGGCTGCAGACGCCAGCAGCGTCGTGTTAGCTTAGGACTGACCTAGCGATCGGCTGGCCGTCGCGGCCTTGCGGAGCGCGCGACTCTCTCGACGCTGTTGCTGTTGCTCTACGCGGGCTTGTAGCTCGGCTGCCTGACGCTTTGCCTCATACATGTCCCGCTGTCGCTTCTCGGCCTTGACTAGTCGGTCCTGGACCTCCTGTTTCGTTTGGCCCATGAGGCCACGCCCGGCCTCGACCACTTCCTGCACAGTGCTGCGGATATCCGTGAGTGTCTCCTTGAGGACGCGGGGAAACCGGCGGCCTGGGGCCGAATTCGCGCCCGTAGCTATGGTCGGAGCGGGCTGGAAGCGGTCATGAAGCTCCGACTGGGAGAGGATGGGGTTCTTAATCATGCGAATCTTGCTCGATGGGGCGGCGTCAGCAGCGGCGGGCGTCGCGGAAGGCGCGGAGCTCGGCTTCGGGAGGGGTGTCATGCTCATGGCGGTGCGGAAGGCGGGCTGGCGTAGCATGGTGGACTGAGCGAGGGAGAGTAGGCCCGAGGCGAAGAAGTGTAGCTGGACGGCGGCGGGTAGCCACGAGGTGAAGACGAGGGAGAGGAGAGGGAAGCCCCATTTCATGATACTCATCATTTTGGCATTCATCATTTGGACGCCGCTCTCGCCGCCTTTCTACCTGCGGTTAGCGAGGGCACGGCGCAGCACAGAGAAGGAGAGAGGCCGAGGAACGTACGCGCAGGACCCAATGGAGCGTGGCGGCCGTAGCCATAGGCAGCAGATAGAGCGGATCCGGCGCCGCAAGGTTGGCGAACCAGAGGGTACCGCCCGTCTCGAGGCCAGGGACGGGCAACTTGGCCATGCCGTTCAGGAGCCGAAAGGTGCCGAAGCCCAACACCATCTGGATGAGAGGAATGCCTGCCTTCCAGGCCTTGATGCCGGCGCGGCGGTGGATTAAACTCTGCTCTTGCTTGTACTGGAGAAAGGCGATTTGGTCGCCGGCCTTTTGGGCTGCCACCATCTTCGTCATGATGGGCTTCGTGATGGGACTCACGACGGCTAGGCGTGCAGCATTGTCGGCGGCCGAGACGTAGGGCATGAAGAGTGCGGCGCGCGTAAGGATGGCGGCGGCGGTGATAGTGAGCCACCAAGGACCTCCCATGTAGACATGAAGGTGCTCTATGGCGTACTCCATGACCGAGGTAGGGCCCCAGCCCCAGTCGAGCCCCATAGCCTTGAGGTAACCAATGTGTTCGGGAGAGTTGATGAGCGTCTGCGCGCTCAGCTCCAGAGCCTCGTCGAACCTCGTGGCCTCGGAGATTTGAGCCGTCGTCGCAGCATCTGCAGAGGCGGCAGACGGAGGAGGGCCGGTGGAGGCGTATCGTCGGTCATGATTCCTGACGGAGAGCCTAGCCAGGTCGCCTTGGGCCAGTGACCTTGGCCGTGATGTGCGCTGAAGCAGGCTGGTGAGAAGTAGATTACGCTTTTGAGGCTGAGGCGGCGCCAATGAAAATTGCTGGCACGGTTAGCATCTCTCTTTTTCGGAGGAATGGCGCGGCACTCTACCCTCTTTGCGGCGAGAGTCTCGGTACAGCACCGAGCTTTGGCCAGAATTGACTGCGGTCGAGCCAGGCCGCGACGAGAGATCATGTTGACTGCCGGTGTGCAGGTGTCTGTCGTCGTAGTCGAGCCTTGACGCGTCTGGGTCGTGCCACACTAGCGCGGATGCCTATGCCGGAATCTCAGCTTGCATCTTGGCCATTCCGAACAAAGAAGTCGAGAAAGTCCTGGCGCCGGAGGAATGAGAATTCATCAACCACCATTTCTCATCACGGACAGCGCCCCGAAACCAAGATTGCCGATGCTACCATCTCAGAATGCGACATGGGCATCGAGCGAAATGAGCAGCTGCGAACCATCAAATCCGGCCGCCTATCGCGGACAAGTGTAAAGCATAGGGCCAAGTATTTACAAAGTCCACTGCTTATTCCAGCTGCCTCTTCCCCAAATAAATCTCTGTTAAAGATTGCAGAACAAGATGTCTAGGACTTTGGACTATTTTAGGAGTGGCAAGTGTAGTGTCGATGTACAAGGCATGGCTTGGGTCAGAGAGGAGCCCAATGTGCTAGATAGTCATAGACTCAAGTAGCACAATAAATACACACACACACAAGTGTAGTGCCGAGGCGGAGAAAGTTCCATCACACAACATTCCAGAAAATTAAAGATAGTAAGAATCAAATGATTCATCTCTCAGTTAGCTCTGGACGAAGCAAGTCACACATGAAGTATCTTCCACCAGCACTGCGAAAAGAACTGTGCACACGGAGCTCCCCTGCTTTGCAAAACCGGTGGGCTTGAATCGCACAAAACTAGACAAAGTGAGACCTCGACCTAAATTTTGCTTCCAAATTAACCCTCTACATGTGCGCAGCATTGCTCAGAGGCCGGACCAAATCGAGTCCGAACGGCCTCGCGCTCTGAATTACAAGCTGGGCGCTATCCTTCGGATGCAATTCCCTGTCAAATGAGGCCAAGCGTTTGTGGGTTGATATAGACCTCAAATTTCCTAGGAGGATGAGGGTCTAGTGTGGGAACCTGCGCGCAATTGAGCTGACAAAGAATTAGAAGTGGTGGAGGAAGTCTAGACTCCTCTTCTCCACGACCTCAATGAGTCTGGCCATCCGATATTCCCTCAAAATCGACCTTCACTTACGTCCGAAAATAGAATTCTAACCTCATGGCTCCGGTACGAAAATTCTCCTATCATAACTCTAATGCAGTGAGATTTAGGAGCACTCAATGGCACGGATGTGTAGGGTTTCCTTAACATCCTGAATGAGCATCAGAGTGTTGTTCCATGGGCGTCGAGACACGTCTAGTCATTGTAATCAAAGCCCTCGGACCCCAATGAGACGCGGCTTAACGACGGGGTTATAAATCTACTAGAAAAAGTTATCTTCAGGTAAATTGACCGATAGTCAGTCCATGGCAACCTGAATACCGCACGGAAATTAGACAGAGGCCCGTCGCCCCAGTTTCCATCTCATCAGCGCACCTTTGTCTTTCTAGGCGTCGTTCTCCCAGCATCCACTCTCCTCGCTTTGCCCTATCCTGCACGACCGTCCTTTTTAAGAGGCACTCCAACCTATGGAACGTTTCCACTTTCATCTCACCAACTGCTGATGCATGCCCTCGTGGGAATAGAGTGATTTCATGGATGCATCTGGAAAAGAAGTACCGAGGGAATAACAGTCCGGAGCTTTAATCGGGATACCCATCAGTGCGTGGATAGAAGCACGTACCTCTTTTGTGTCATGTTAGGAAGCGTCTTTGTTGTGCTGAGATGGAGATATAGAATCGGCCGGGGGTGTTACCTAAAGATTTCTACTTCTGGAGCCACGGGCATTCCTCAAGCCGTGAATATGTACCAGATAATCAGATATCTTGAAACTTGGGTTAGATGGATGCTTACTGGCGAGGGTTGGTATTTTTTTGTGACCAGGCGAACTCGGGTGATATTTGTGCTTGTAATCTCTGGGATGATTATCAGATACCACAAGAGTCATAATTGTGTGCCAGAGACTATCCAGAGGTTGTAGCGAAGAAGTGGGAGATACAAAAATAGATTGGTGATTTATCCTAGTCGAGAGATGTGATGTATTGAAATGACCATGGAGTGGAATACTGACGTTCTGGACCGTCGTAGTCTCCGAGGTCCCTGTCTGTAAAATCATCCCGGCTTCTCTGCAAACCTCCGGAAAATAGTTAGACCGTGGAGATGTAGACCGAAACCCAGGCCCCAATGGTAACGGCTCCTCGCGTAGAACAAAATGAAAATGGCCCATCAACCACGTCTACCCCAACCTGGCGACTTCCTCCCATCTCATATCCTGACCATCACTCCTCCCGCACCCACCCACACGACTCCAACCAACGCACTTATCTTTCTCCACGGCCTCGGTGACACTCATCTGCCCTTCACCAATCTCGCGCGCTCTCTTGCGCTGCCGGCCACCGTAAGCATCGCCCTCCGCGCACCCAACCTTATCCCGCCTTTGTTTTCCGGCACTGATGTACCTGCCTTCCATTGGGCCGATGACCTCCTCTTCGATCCGACCACGGGTGCCATGGACGCCGATGCCGGCTTTACACGCGCTCAAACCGCACTCGACGACGTAATTAAGGTGCTCGTCAGCGACTGCGGCTTTCATGAACGCGATATATACTTCCTTGGGTTTGGCCAGGGAGCCACGGCTAGCTTTGGCTGGCTTGGACGGGCCGAGCGAGCGGGATCCGGTCGAGGTGGATATGGCGGCGTCATCGCCATCGGCGCTGGACTACCCAAGGAACTTCTCTCTTGGATCCCTGCAAGCCCGTCGGAAAAACTACAGACGCCTGTCCTTCTTTGTGGTGGCCAAACCTCGACGCAGGTTACTGGACAGGTGACAACTCTGATCCGCGACCGCGTGGCTAGCCTACAGTATGTGCAGTGGAAAAGAAGTGGCGATAGGATGCCGCAAAATCGCGAAGAAATGATGCCTATCATGCAGTTTTTTGCGCGACGGATGAGGAGCTGGACTGGCGTGTTTGAGGGTGCCATAGAGCTCATCTAGCCTTACTATTTCGCCCGGATATCTTGCATCAGGGAGGATACTGCCCAGGGGACTCCTTACGATTCACAAAGAACCAGGCAAAGTTTGTGAGAAGAAGAAGCTTCATAAGCCCTCAAAGAAGAGAGCCAATCATGCATCACAAACACCCAACTCATGGAAACGCTCGCTTCCTATCATCTGAAAATTAGACCTCACACATCATCCTACGTCTACTTTTCAATCTCTAGAAAGTATATATTCCGGGAAAAATCACCCAGCTTAGAGTAAAACAAGCCTATTTCACTGTAACTCATTATCTTAAGCACCTTCTCCGAGTTGTAATAAAACACTCACATACCTCAGCGTGTCTTCCAAGACCTGAGAAAAATTAGTATAGGTGATTTTCAGATTAATGTCAAATATCGAAAGGCTGCCACAGATCTCTAAACTACCCACCAGTGCCCATGATGTCGAATTCAGTGATATGAGCCGGAAAACATTCGCAATATAAGTAAGAAGAGAATGTCAATAAAAGAAACACTCCAACTACTTCGGTCAAATTGTTGCGAGACTAGCGAAGTGTTTTCCTACATTTGTAGCCTCTATGTTGTCATAGGACACTGGTCACGTGTCATGCTGCGTTAGGACCAGTATGTACCCACTTTTATCTTTGCAAACTATTTTGCTAGTTCTCTTAATATATACGTACTCTGATCACTTGTATAACTTGATAAGAGACACTGCACAGCAAATGTAAGGCGTAGATGAATCAGTATTGAAGTGATATCCCATAGTAGTGATATGAGTTGGGTCTTATAGAAATCCCCATCCACCAAACTGTGTTCCAATTATCTACTCTATTCTAAACGTGTCTCATTCCCTCGTATAACTGAGAAGCACTCTGTCAATGACTTGTGTCATCAAAGAATGACTACTCCTTCACTTGACAGATCCTCTCTACGACTCGTCGCTTACATTACTCGGTGAGTACTAACTGACGCGTCTATTGTCCAGACAGTGCACGGCTCGTAACTAAGCGAGTCGTGTAATCTGATACTAGAGGTTCCACGTTCTATCTACTAGGACGTGATCTGTTTCTCTAATAGGATCACCATTAATTCTCTCTCTGCAGATAACAGTCATATTATTTTTTTGCCTACAGGCAGGGCCTTTGCTGACTTAAGCTATCGCAATTTGAAGTCAGGTGTATTGTTGACAGCTATTGAATTAACATGGAATATCATCCAGCGATTAGATAACAGCGCAACTTCGTACCTTCCTGTGAGACAATTTAACCTGGCCCCTATCACGGAATGCGATAAATCTTGAACTTTACCTAGAAGCTTTTTTTAAAAATCATTAAGTGTATGCAACCTAAAGCTTTTGATTCAAACTCTCGGCGTCCGTAATGATGCCATGGTCCTGAATTACAAAGTGCATTTTGGGACTCTAGAGCGCTCTTACTCGACGTGTGTGAGGGCTCGAAAGGATCAAGGTGTCTATGAAGGCGTACAGATTTTTTTATTATAGTCCCTACTGAGTCTAAGACGATGGAGGACTTTGTGAATCTAACTAAAGATTCTAATTACATCTGAGAAATCTTTTTGAAATATGACAAAATTTGTTCTTATAGATATTGTTACAGGCTGCGCCTATCTCCTAGTGACTGTCGCACGGACACTTATCATTATTACGTCATTAGCCTTGCTATCTAAAGAGATGTCCAACTTGGCTATACAAATACAGGGTTGCAACAAATATGGAAACAAGATGTTGTTGCAGCAAGTCTCATATGGAATCATGGGCTGATACGACCAAGATTCGCTATGACGAGCCTACTCGGAATATCAAGGATATGGTGTAGTAGAATAGATAGTGAGGTTAGCGCATTGGGAGTTGGGACACCTTAAGTAGCCTCCCCTCGGTGAACAGTTCCGAGATGTATGTAGAAAATAGACAGTAATCGGCCACCATTCCTTTACTATATTGTTTTGTTGATCGCCCATCACAGATATTGAGGGACAAGCCCTTTATGAAGGCGTACAGTTTGCTAGGACCGGCGTCATACCTCAGAAGACTGGACCCGAAGGTTAGATAGATATAAGGTAATAAGTGTGAGTGTAGGATGCTACATTTCTATCTACTAGTTATGAAGTAAATCGTTCGGATGGCAAAAAGTGTCCGCCCGTTTTCCGTGTCCTCTAAAAACCTGCGAATGAGACGTCCTCCCAGACCGAGGGTCATTCGATTTCGCAGTCTAAAAAGTTGGCTCATGAGGCAATGATTGAACATACTCCACCAAATTCAGTAAGATTGCGTCTTTCCCAAGACTCATCAAATTTCAAGTGCGAACTGGTATATTCTCATTTCAACGACCCCACCTCGCATAGACTATTTTCTGGCCTCACTGGCCGCCACAAACACATCTACTACAATATAAATACCGACGAGGGAAATAAGTCTTGCCACACGAAACTGGGAGGCAGTTCAACGTTGTGGACGTTAAAGTAATTAGGACTAGTGGACAAGATGATACAAACGGTGCATAAAGTCTTGAAGGGATTAGATTTCGATTTTTAGAAAATAGGCTTCCGAATTGAGCATTATGTGCTACGACTTCTACTGCGACAGTGTAGGCGACACTACAAGTACCGCCGCAGCTGGATGGTGCTGTGGTATATAATCTGTAACGGTCTCCCAGGTAGATTCGAGATGGCTTGGACATACATCCCATTTGAGACAGGAGATGGCTGTCTCCAATCGCCCAAAACACAACCACATTTCTCGCGGTGCAGATATACATGCATGACGAATGCATGTTGGGATATTCAAAGATTTCCAATTTCCCTTTGGTGGGTACTCACGGAGGAAGGTCGACTGTATTGTGTAAACAGGCGCACCTCATGATAGAGAGTGTGTGTTTTTATTGTACTGCTCGAGTCTATGACTATCTAGCACATTGGGCTCCTCTCTGACCTGGGCCACACCTTGTACAGTGCTCCTTGCCTCTTTTGTTACTTGAAAGATCATTGATATATTCCCCTTGATGAATAGCCATTCAGCTCAGCATTTACCCGTGGGGTTCGGCCACCTTTTCCACGGAACCTTCTACCCAAAAAAAAAGAAAAAAAAAAGAAAAAAAAAGGTAGCAATGGAAACTGCGTGCGCGGGAAAAAGTCTCAAAAAACCTGCAGCCCCAGCCAGGCGAGGCCTTGACACCAGGACCACATTAGGTGCGCATACTCATCTACATCTCCCTTCTTTGTAACAATCGAGGCCGACTTGATCCAGTCCACCATCTCCGTATCGGGTGCTGGGTACGCTCCGAAAACTCATCGGATAGCTTCTTCTCCATGATCGAGGGTTGGTGATGAGCAGGGCTTCGACCCTACCATCCGATCTGATCGTGGTTAGATTCATGTTAGTGATGATAGGGGAATATGTTGAGAGATGAAGACGATACAGACCGCGCAAGATATTGGGAATCCTCGTCCAAGTGAGGACTTTGTTACTCAATCTTGGCTCTGCAGACTCTACAGTGAGAGCTGGAGGCTAGTAGGGGACACCATTGACAGGTGTTGAGAATAGCCCTCCACCTCATGCTAGTATTTGCAAATGAAATATTGAGTATGAGTGTCTTTAAAATCAAAAGAGCCATTCGAAATGTCGCATAGCGCTAATTGTGTGTCATAGCTAGATAACTGAATACATGTTAGGTGATCGAAAAAAAAGGATAAAACCTGAATGGCTTAGGCTAGTCTACCTTCGGAGACGAGTCAAAACCGGTGTGAATTCTATCATGCAAAATTCACGATGGAACCTAGACTTTTAAAGACTCATCATCTAGACGTGATGGCGACACCCTTTTTCTTGCATCAGATTTTCTTTGCGTATGCAGCTATCTAGCCATGACACAATATCAAAGAAAAGTACATGATAGATGACATAAAATAAAGGAAGAGCACTCATGCCTCGGGTGTTGGTAAAACATGAAGTAATACAAATTGGATGCCGTCACGAAGTCGGTGAATAATGTCAATTAACTGGTATCTCGAAATATATAAAACGTTGTCTCCTCTTTTCTTCTCCATCTATCCTTCCTTCCTCTACTCCAAGCGCCTCGCTAATGAGCTAAATCAGAACCCTGTCAGTGTCCTAACGACAACCTGAATACCGCAAATACATAGAACAATTTACACTACCAAAATATGATCCTTTTACCGACATCGGGTTTCATTTGCAAGTACCACTGCGAAGTTATGGCAGCTTTTTCTTCACCCAAAGTCAACCATAATCCGTGAATACCCACTCAGGGACGCGCGACGCTCGCGGCACACGTGGATTTCATGGCCTCGTCAAGAGGCTAGACGCGTATAAACAATCAAATTCGACGGTTGCTCGCACATTAGATGAAACTGATGGCTGGTTTCTCACCGAGTTCGCGTGGCTAGCTCTCCTGAACATTGATGACCAGGAAGTTTTGGAGCGCGAAAACGAGAATCAAGGAGACGGTTCCGAGAAAAGGCTTCTCGAATAGATCCGAAAAAACTTCCCTAGTCACATTAACAAAATCAAACCAAAAAAAGCCCCACGTAGTTGGACATGCCGAATCACGGCTAGTTTCTGACCATTGCGTAAAGTCGGTAACTCGTCTGAGCCTAATCTCTTGCGTTTTTGTGAGACTGTTCCAAGTCGCCACTGCAATTTCACTGCATCACAATTATTGCCCACGATCACTCCATCACGACTCCGTTTCCGGCAGTCCAGACTTCTGAGAGGCTCTCGCACATCGATACTCTCTCATGCGCGGCGAATTCCAACTAGGCTCAGGCTTTTCTCGACGGCCAAATAGTTTATTCCGGGAGATTCTCGCAAAAACAAATATCCAGTCCAGTACGGACTGAGGAGCTGTACCGATGGTAAATTAGGAATACGTAGCTACTAGTGGTATTGAGGGCGTCTATGAGTTATTAAAGTGTAGATATCGTGCAATAGTGACTCTTTACTAATAAAGCAGTCAAGTTGGCTTTTAGTATAGCTGAGATATTTTCTTACCTTTTAAATTATTCCCTATCAAACATAATTCAAGCCAAGCCGGCAAAGTCGAATTCTTCACCTTCCAGTGGTGCCGGTGTAATCGTTCAGTATGCTCTGCATATCTGGGATAGCCAGAAGAATCGTATCCTTCGTAACGGCAGCTTGCTGAGCGTGGCCCAGTCGGCGGAGGGCAAGACTGAAAACCTGAACACTTGTACGCGGTGTACTCTACGAACCTGGGAGTGAAATATTCTCCCAGAGCCAAGTTCAGTCAAACTTCGCAAAACCGAACAAGTTGGCCCACGAGGCAATGATTCAAACTACTCCGCCATGTCATTTTTTCGCTCCCAACGAGTTCGACTCCTACCCAAGTCTCATAAAGTGTACAGGTACGACCTAGTACATCCTCATACCAATGATCACACCTCTCTTCGATCTTCTCTGGCCTCAGTTGACCACCAAATACACGCCCACGCCCATATTTATATCCGACGGAGGAAGCAAAGCGTGGAGCACAAATCTGGGAGATAGCCATTGGGAATGGACGTGAGAGGGATCAGGACAAGTTTACAAGATGATGCTGAAGAGGGATACGTTTTCGATGGGCGTGGAATTTTGACATATTGGCAAGGAGTTTTACGAGTTAAGCTTTGTGCGCGCCAAGACTTCGCTTGCGAGAGTGCAGCTGACACAATATACACAAGCAAACGATGGAAGGTGTTGTGGTGCGCCTCCTGGTGGTGATCTCCGGTATAGTTTGAGTAGCCTGGGCACCTACTCCACTTGGGAAGGAGACGCCTCAGACCATATTTCGCGTGGAAAAAAGTTGAAAGATGATGGAGGCATGTCTGGATAACTTAGGGTTTTTGAGACGTTCCCCTGGGTGGGTATTTACGGATGATGGTTGACTTGGGGAGAAGAAAAAGCCGCCATAACTTCGCAGTGGTACTCGCAAATGAAATCCGAGGCAAGAGTGCTCTTCCTTTACGTTGAATCATCTATTCTGTACTTTTCTTTGATATTATGTCATAGCTAGATAGCTGCATACGCAATTAAAATCTGATGCAAAAAAAAAGTGGCCCAGTCGATTTCGATTGACACATGGGCTAGGTTCCGTTCCCGGCACGATAGATCGAAAGTTTAAGCTTGGGTCTCTTCTATTCAGCCTTCTGACAACTTCCCGATGGAGTTTGACTAGGAGGACTTTACGACTCACCAACAACCCTCCAAAATCAGAGTTAAAATTGCTTTCGCTTTCAACCTTACTAACATTGTGTGCAGGACTTAGCAGCTACTCGGCCTCATTTTAGACAAGCACCTTGACCGCAACATCAACATTCTCAACTTTTCGACACATTCCAAAGACGGCGCGAACGAAGAAGCCTCACTCAGACAACGAACAATGTACGACAAAAGCTGGGACACCGATGCCTCGGTTTTGAGCTCTCGACTTCGGAATTTCAGCTCTCTCAAATGGGGGTTGAGCGCAATGCAGGGGAGAATTTGGGAAGAACGATATGTGATTTTCAACAGGCTGTTGGCACAGTTGGTCGGGTGCTGGATGAGCTTTCTAGAAATGGTAGGTTGGATTCCTACACGGCCTGTTAAAGGGGGGACTACGGCTGCTCGTCGCGAAAGAGTACAGGAGGAATTATTGAGGTTTTCCCACGAAGGTTTTCCCTCAGTACATGGTCTTAGGATCATGGTGAATGCGTTCTTACCTATTCGACCCGATGTAACTAGCGTGAGGCACGTATTTGGAAAAGTCAGGCACCGGATGGGCTTTGCTGGAGAATGGAGGAACTTGTATTCTAGATGTCCTCCATGCGTGTCACGTCCATTGGATGAAGGGTATAAGCCTGGCACGACAAATATAATAATCATCATAATTCAAGCCAACTGGAAAAGCTGCACCAGGTCTTCATAATCCTTTTTAACCCGGCCTAATTCAAGTTTGGCGCATGATGGAAAAGTTTCATAACACCTCTATTATCCGCAGGCTGAATTTTGCTATTAGTGTGGACCCCAATCGATGGAAATCCGACAGTGTACGTTGTGCGCTGTAAATTGGCTCACGTGGTGCGTGGGGAATACCTAAATAAGTTGGCGATACAGCAACATAGAAAACAATTGACGTAGTTTTAGTCCCAAGCTCCACTCACATATCATTATCGATTAGTCGGAGCTACAAGATACCTCCGTGAAATCATATTGATCACAAACCGACCAACGAGAAGCCAATATAGGCTAGTGATAAGATATGTCTTTTGTTAGAGGGAATTTGTGCTACATTTTTGCCCTATTTATAATCCACGCATAATATAAGTGGTTTAGGTGTTAAAACCATGGCTATTTCTGCAAGATTGTGAGTCATGATCGGATTCTCACGAAGTTTAAGCAAGGCGATCAGGAAATGGTTTGCTATGCACATACAAAAGCAAACGTTCTAAAATTGGAGCTACGATAGAACAAAACTCCCGCACTCGAATTAGCCCCTCACAGGCTTGCTTATAGATAACAGTAAAGATTTACCGTTTAGATTACCTCCAATTAGTCTCATTTTTCTCATTCGCATTCGATTTCGTAGATCACAGGACAAATTCTGACAAATAGTCCGCTATCACAAAGATTAATCGATAAAAATTTTGCGCTACCGATAACCGGCACTGTTTTGAATCAGTATTTGAACGCTTACTACAAATTTTTGAGGAAGATATTTCATTCGGCAGATAAATCTTGGCCCACAATGTCTTGATAGAGATCTTTTGGCTAGTCCGATTTCATGTCCAAAATAAATCTCAACATACAGTCGATTCTTAAAATTCAGTTCATCTCATTTAATATTAGTAACAAGCGATTGGGAAAAGTCGAGCTATGAGAGTTCGAAACTTTATGCTTCAACATAATTAAAGTTGGAGATTAAGCTGTATACAAGTTGATTAATCGCTGAGACGCTGATGGACACATGATGGGTGTCGCCGATCAAGGTTTAGTCATTTATCTTATACCCGAGAAAATTTTAACATGTTGCTACAGACTGACACAAAATTTGTAGTCTTAGCTTTAAATATCAGCATCGCAGATCGATTAAGGTCAGCAGAGCTGGCACCCATCCATATGATACCTAGGCTAAAGAATGGTACTTGATACATCAAAAGCTTATTTAACCGAAGTTGTAAGAAGTATTAATTCTTTGCGATTTTAGAGGGCTGTTGCATTTGTGGTAGTACATACAAAAAATTTCACAATTTTCAGCCTAATTAACTGTGTATATTCGTCTCGTTGCACGAATTATTCGGAAAGAATGTTCTCGCCAGGAGTCGATGCCGCATCGTACAAACGATAATTAAGAGATTGATTGAACGCCGCACTATTTATTTCGCCTTACCTAGTGTTAGATAGCGCGTAGATAATACTTAAGTCCGCATGCTGCCGAACGTCATCTAACATTGAATCCCTCTATCATGAATGATATGCGGGAGGATAGCATGAATTAGGGTGTGATTAGTATGAAATGAATTCGATCGGTCTGTCGATCAAGTAATGAAAATTTTGCTTTTATCGAGGTTATATGTGTCTGTCGACCATGAGATGCTCTGTAAGTCGAGTATCCAATTCCGCTACGAATATTTGGTTGATGTTAAACGAAAATCCATTCCCTGTATGAGCAACGCCAATTATATTTGTTGTCAGTAATCCACCCTAGATTATTTTCGAACCAGGATCTTGATGACTAGGTGACACCGGGTTAATCTCGTAACCAAGCCCTTCTTTTTTCCTCCTTTTTAATTTTGCGTTTTTCCTTGAATTGCTTGAGCTCTGTCTTTGATAATTTTTTGCCGCTTCTTTCAGCCTTCAAGCTGCGACCGTCATGGCTATTTGCAGCAGCATCAACATCAAAGTATGCATTCATTTGTCGCTTGCTCTTATTCTCGTCATTAAAATTTTCTGGAGTAATTTCTGAGCTTTGAAATCGACCTGTGAATCGATTAAACGCTGCTGTAGCTGCATACTGCTGCGAGGGATCTAGATTGTGATTTGTAGGGTTTACTATGGGATCTGTGGATAAAGGCTGCGCGTACCAGGCGTTTGGATCATAGTCGCCATGAATAGCAGGATTATAGCCAGGTACTGTGACGGGTGGAGGAGACATTAAGACGGATGTAGACGATGGAGCATCAACTCCTGGTGGGCCAGAAGGTTTTTGTGGTACTACTGCTTGAGGCACGCGTGGGTTAGTCCACTGTGAAGCCCCAGTAAATCGATTGAAGAAGTAGAAACCTTGCGCCGTTTCTTCCCAAATTGGTGACCAGCCATCATCAGCTTCGCGTGTAGCTGGTGGCAGCTCAGTTGGTAGAGGTGGCGCTGAAGGTTTCGTCGAATCAGTTTTGTTATCGCAAGAATCGTCTGCTAGTGGAATGGTATCATTTCTCTCGTCTAATTCGCCTTCCTCCGCTGAATCTTTACTCTCCGTATCTGAGTTTGCAGGTGATGTTTCTCTTTTGGTAGACTGGATCATGTCGTGTGCGCCTAATTTTCCTTTGCTTGAAGTTATCGGTGCCACTTCTTCCTTCTCATTTTCTGGCGAAACCATTGCTACCATGAGATGTTAGCGCAGGCTCTATCCTAAATCCTATCTTCTAGATCAATGTGATCGTGTCGGTTGCTAGACCGAGGATTGATAGCTTTGGTTCTCTTGCGGGCTTACTAAAGACTTGGCATAGATGGCTGGGCTCAGATCACGTGAAATAATTTGAATCTTAAGATGGAAATGAGCAACCACCTCGGAGATAGAATTCTGTCAACGTTGTTGGGATTGGGAACCATACGAAATGAAAAAGAGACCTAACTCAAATATCTTTATGTCACAGGCCAAGTTGAATATGCGGATAGCTATTTATTTTAACGCATGAATAAATATCGAACAGACGAGCTAAATAAGTATGAGCGACGACATAGTTCCCACTCCTATTTTGGGAGGGGCCACGGAAATTAAGAGACAAAAGAAGAAGAAAGTGCTTCTGATGGGCAAATCGGGGTCAGGAAAAAGCTCAATGAGAAGTATAATTTTCAGCAATTACGTTGCCAAAGACACCAGACGTCTAGGAGCTACAATTGATGTAGATCTCAGCAACATTAAATTTCTGGGGAACCTAACATTGAACCTATGGGATTGCGGAGGGTGAGTTCTCTTGCAGGGCTTGTTTTTATTTCAACATCAAATTCTACCCTGATATCAATTTCACACTCTGTATGCTAGAGAGGATCTTGAGCAACTAACAAAGCGCAGACAAGATGCCTTCATGGAAAATTACCTCTCGCAGCAACGTCAACACGTTTTCTCTAATGTTGGTGTCCTGATTTATGTTTTTGACGTTGAGTCTCGGGACTTTGATCGAGATCTTCTTACATACCGCTCCATTATTACAGCCCTAGCACAATTTTCACAAACAGCTAGTATTTACATTCTGATACATAAAATGGATCTCGTCGTTCCAAACCAGCGCGAAAATATTTATGCAGATCGTGTCTCTCTAATTCGCTCTAAATCTGATTCTTTCTCTCCAACTCCTTTTGCAACCTCTATATGGGATCAGTCGCTTTATAAAGCTTGGGCAGAGATTATACATGACTTAGTGCCAAATCTGGACCAGATTGAGCGGCATTTAGGTACTCTTGGTAAGCTGATAATGGCTGAAGAGGTACTTCTTTTCGAACGGTCTTCTTTTCTTGTCGTCTCAAGCTGGCTTTCTGACATTGGGCTCGAGAATCCCACCGCTGATCGCTACGAGCGCCTCTCGAATATCATCAAAAATTTTAAACAGACTACTAGTAGATATACAGGTACACCGAAGAGCGCCGAGCAATTTGTCCTGATGGATGTAAAACTCCTCAGTTTTTCGATGTTTATGACCAAGTTTACAACCAACACATACCTAGCAGTACTTCTAGCCCCAGGCGAAGAAACATTTAATAGCGCTGTGGAGAACTGTCATCTCGCACGAAGAGAGTTTGAAAGTCTAGATAGTCCTGCCAAGAAAAGTGCAAATCGTGGTATGACAAGCGGCATATCCTAGCTAACTCATTATATGGCCAAGAAAAAATTGAATTTGTCGACGCAGAAACATGATATGAGACCAAGTGAAATATCAGATTACACGACTCTAAAATTTACAGTTAAATCGTTGGCTGTATCGTAGTCAGAAGGCACATATAATCATGGCTTTTTCTTCAACACTTAGTATTTACCAACTTTACAATACTTGAAAACTTCAGAAAGAATTCTAGCCCAGAATCTCATCGTCATGTGTGGATACGAACATTTATTTGACGTTCTCGGCTCATAGTTAAATCTACATCATCTATGGATCTAATCCAACTTCAGTCGGAAACTTATAGAAAGTTTCTCCAATATATACCTAAGTGAAACTATTTGGTACTCATTTCCTATCAAGAAAGATTAATCTCCATGGTATTCAACTTCTATAACCTCAAAGTTTGTCGTCTTTGACCTATTCTAGACCTTCACCACATTATAAAATTAAATAGAAGAGTACCCATCAAAATAATTGAGGAGATCAAAAGTCAGAATTTATTACCATCTCTCTAGTATCATCCGATTGACAATTTAGTATTTTTAGATAAAGTCCAAAAAGCCAATTATCTATGAAATATATCAGCAGAAACTGACTAGTCGCTCATATATTTAAACTTCTCGAAACTGAGTGTGGGCTATTCCCATGCACCTCTATAGCCATCAACATATATTTCACATACAGCATAGAAACAAAACATCTGTTGCTTCTCCATCGAATTCGAGTACGTATACTTTATTCATCATTGTATGCATAAAACTTGGTCAGAGAGCTCCTGAAGTAAAACTAGTTTTATGTCAGGTGTGGGAACCCATAAACAACACCACGAAGAGCAAAGGCAAATGTAATCACTCAAGAGTTATGATCTAGCTACTTCATGCAGGCATCAATTAAATGGTACCATCACCCTCCAAAATTATTTTAAATATAACACATAAGGCCAAACCCAAGAGTGGGTCATTTCGATGAGATTGATAACACTTTACGATTTGATCAGCACATGGTAAACAGTTGTTGTAAAGGTAAGAGTTTACGGGGGTTAATTGGTAGAAGGTTTACGGATAATTATCGATGAATCTATGTGAACTGCTGATGTACTTGATAATCAGAAGCATGACAAACTTGGAAGTAGAAAGCGCTAGTTATATAGACATCTGAGGTAGCTAGACTCTCGCCTTATTTTCCCAAATTAGTATCATAGGATATTCTAGTATCCTCCATCTGGTAGTATTATCTAGAAACTCTTTCCATACAGTGCTCCATTATTCCTCTACTCATCATGGAACCACCTGGAAAGTTTTTCCTTCATCCCGAGTGATCATCACCCTTGTGCACCGTAATCCTAGCCACCACCAGCACAGCAACAATGTCTAATTTACCTGAGTTACACACAGAATTATGGTCAAATGTTTCATGAGGTCAAGTTTTATTCTATCAGAAGTTGTTGAGTATGTTCGATATTAGGGATTTCTACGTTCTAATTTTTAAACTACGGGTCCTTTTTAAGGCGCTACGACGATCTCGTTCGGCTGTCGCTTCAAACCTGCAGAGATTTAAGAATTCAAATATCAGCCGCCCAACTTTTTGCTACGATTTTGGTCTGATTTATACACAGGTGGGGGCCGGCAAAGACGAATTCCTCACCTTCCAGTGGTGCCGGTGTAATCGCTCAGTATGCTCTGCATATCTGAGATAGCCAAGAAGAATCGTATCCGAATCGAAGTCGAATGCAAATACATGCATATCTCCATTTGACGACTTCTCAACAATGCAGCACTCACCATTATCTTCTGAGTCCTCAACCTCGATCTAACCACATATCACCTCGCCTCGACGACCGATAAAGGCGTCAACCCAATTGCAAACAGGAGCTTGCTTCAATCATTACTGGTCATCACTCACTACAAATTTACGACGCTATGTATACCCACGAGGATTTTCTTTCTGTCCTACACAGTTGTAAACTCAAATAGGACGTAAATGGATTATTATTATTATACCCGCAAGGACGAAATTAAGTTACAATATACAAAGTTGAGGTCTTAGTTTATGGGGGACTGATGCTCTAATGGGGTTGTACATATTGAGGAATGACAGGCGGCTGAAAAGTGGAACGAGAGGGGAACAGGTCTTTGAAGACCATGCCGGGACTGATATTTTCGAGGAGTTTTCAACTTTGGATTTTTTGTGGGCGCCAAGACCCAGATTTCGGCTAATTAGCCAGGAGAGCTTCTTTCGTCGATGAGTCAACGGCACTCCCCAGCGCCCTGGACGGTACAAAAGTAGTCGGGCTAAGCTATTGTACAGCAAACACGCTCTGTCAAGACTTTTCTGACATTTCGGCACGACCTTCGGGAAGGAGTTGGAAGGAGGCTAGAAAGGCAGAGTGTGAATTCTCCGAGGTGCCCACAAGTCTGCAGCGCCCAGCTGGCCGGCCTCTTCGAACGCTTCAGAAGGGGCACTTTGTCTTCGGATTTAGTCCTAATCTCGGTATTAGAAGAGCCCCGCACCCAGTGGTTTTTGCGAATTTTCCCGGCTGCCATACACCCGCAAATGGACATCGTTTCATTGGCTGGAGAGGAGCGATAATGAAGGGTTAAGGGCTCCTCTAAGTGTATGATCGAATGAGGACTTGTGAGGGGAGGTACTGTTTGAGGGAAGCTGTATGGGAGGCATAGGAGGGGATATACTACTGGTATAGGTATCCTTGGCCTGTAGGCAGAGAGGACCTGCACATCCTACATAGTGATAGACTCAGACAAGACAATAAAATGAATGAAAAAAAAATAGTACAATAGAACACACGTACACACTGAGTGATATGAAACTATCGAAACCAGGATGGCTTTTTGTTCTAAAATTTCCAACTTCTTGCAAGGTCCCTGGCTCTAATACCATGATTACAGTCTCTTATGGATGGCAAAGGTAAAATTGTCAAAATAATTGGAGTTGGATCCCTGTACATATTGCCTTAATTGGTATGGTCTTCATGCAGGCCCATGTCTAGTTACTCGACTAGTTATACAAGCAAGGGGTACTATCCAATGATATTCTGTAAAAGTCTAATTTATGGGGATGGTTTTCAACTCAATGGGAAAAGTACAATGGTCCTCATTTGAAATTCAAAATTAAAAAAAAAAAAAAATTGATATTCTCTAAAAATGCACATCTATTTTGAAAATTATTGCTCTGTTTTACATAAGTCTACATCGTAGCCCTCATTATGCCCTCGACTAAAATGAAACCGTTCTACATGCTTTGTATTAGTCTGCTCCATGCTAATACTTTGTGTATCCTTCGTTTTCCTTTATCACTGCTACAAATCTTTCGTGCATGTTAACCACACTTAACGGAGGCTTCTTCCGAGCAATGCATCTGCTGTATCCTTTTTTTTTGAGTGCATTAGAAATTAAACATTCACTGCATCCCCAGTGGCTGAGGAGCCCCATTGCTAGATCCATATGACACATCTGTGGATTTTCAGTAAATTCCCGGACGAAAGCCTCAAGCTTATCATCTTGTTCCGCGCTTAATTTAGGCGAGCTTCCTTTGCGGGATATAGGATTCTCAGTCTCTCGAGCACACGCAAGTTGCACTTGCCTTCTTGTGAAGCCAAGTTCGTCGGATATATGTTGTAATGTCAAGCCAAGTCTTCTTAATGCTCTTATTTCAATACATTGATCGCAAGTTAGATGCTTGCAAACTTTAGTTTCTGAAGCAGACTTTGGGAGAGACATAGTTTGCTAGAAGTGAGGATTAATTGATAGTAATGTTAAGACTCAGAGACTTTGTTTGTTTTTTTTTTTTTTTTTTTACATTTGGTCCTAAGCTAACGCTATCTTTTCCACATTGGGTCAAGGACCGGTGGAGCCGGCAAGGATCACTGCGTACAGGCCCAACTCATTCCAACCGCATGAACTTCTACTGAAATTGTAGAAGTTAACAGCAAAACTTAAATCAAAAACATAAATCAAAAACATAAATCAAAAACTGAAATCAAATTTGGAAGAAATACTGTTTGGTCCGGATCCCGCGCTTCTCGCCTGCTCCCTTTCCTGCCATATCTTCCAGATGACTTTTTCTTATCTCCGCTGAGAGCGAAAGACTAGTTCGCAGATACCCTGAATTCAGCTGGTATCCTGCTATATATATTGAAGCTATCTGTAGACTTCACCGAGGGTTGCTGTACCCTCAAACTTCTTCTTCGGATTCCAGGATTCCGAAACCCGATCCCTCGGCCATCGAGACATCCTTCGTTGAGGCCATCGTTGCCTCTTCGGCCCGTTTGGCTGCAGCCCTAAATCGAGCCACTTTCGCGAACTCCCCTTGCTGGATCTGGCGGATCCGCGCGAGCTGCTCTTTTGTCACCGGTCCGGACTTGCTGGGTCTGGCTAAGCAGGCCCGGAAATCCGATCGGTGAGGTCCCCCACAGTTTCGACACCGGGTGAGGGCCTTGCACTCTGATTCTGAGTGCATATTAGATCCGCAGTTCCAACAAGCTGGAGCGCGGGAACAACCACGGGTGGCGTGAAATTCAAGACACCGTTTGCATTGTTCGATTTTGCGACGAGGTCGGAAGAGCTTTGCAGCTCCAGAGTCGTCGAAAAGGCGGAATCCAGGTCGAGGAGCGGATTCTCGGGGAAATAGCGCTTGCCAATTTGAGTAGGGCGCCCCTGGTTTGCTAGTCCCATGAGGACGAACCAGAAAGGGAACCAACTGGGTCACTCGCGTGACTTCGTCGGCAACCATCTTTGCCGTCACGGCGAATGGGCCAGCAAGAGTTCGAATTGTCTCTGGGACGGTGGCAATTTGCATGGCAACCAGATTTGATGCTGGTTCCAGTTTGATTCCAGATTCGCTCCGTGATGTGGAGGAATCTAGGAGCTCTGTTCGAGCGAGTTCATCCTTTGCGGTTATTGCAAAGCCGGTCTTTACCTGCTGAACCAACGTGATATTGTTGGCAGCGGTTCCCAGCGCCTGAG